AATCATTGATGTTATTACATACTTGTAGTCGTATCATTACACGTGTTGAAATACTCGCTGGATAAGGAATTTACTAATTGCCTGTCAGAACCTGCGTGTCCTCAAAGAGTGACACAAGACTGCACTGTGGAATGCCTAAAAACCACAAACCAGTTAGTAAATAGGAGTGAAGTAAAGTGATACGCCATACACGTCTCATTGTGTGTTTTACGATCACTGAATTGTGTTTTTAATGTACAATAGATTCGTTTCCTCTTTGTATTCAGTAACCGCAACACTGTGCTCATCCTAATAGTCCTGGGCACAAATGGCCGCCGAGTTCTCGTTGAGAGAGAGAGAACCGCGAGACCTCAAATAATGTACAATTATCGACCGTCATTGTGTCTACGGGTTCTCTCGCTGTCAACGAGATCTTGGCTGGCATTTGCCACTGAGGTCTATTGTGACTGGGTTTTGAATATAATTAACGCAATGTTATTGGATTTTGTAAATACTATCAATTTCTAGAAACTAATCATAAGCCCAAATAAATTCCAGGCTAATTATTTTAACATTCTGTATATAATCATACAGCAATGTGGGTAAGGGTGATGCGGTAAATGGTTTATTGGACATATAAGGTCGTAAAATAGTGATGCATTATCAATGAGTATCTCGTACATATTTTGAAATATATCATGACGCACGCTTTCTCAAGTTTTGCGTCAACTTCGAATATCGGAGTGATTAAATCATCTTAACGATGAAAATATTAGGAATGATATTTTAATCACGCACTTCAATGAGGGGATTTTTCTTGGATGTATAAATCAGTTTGATCGTGATTCTGGGATAACTACTTTAATTAATAAAATATTACGTATTACTTTCTCATAAATCGTTTTAAGAGCAGGAAATATCGAGTTGTCTCGATTCGATAAATCTGGATTTCTTCCTACGCATTTCTTTGCAATTATTCGCGCATATATTATGTGGTCGTGAATTGGGAAATATTTAAGATATTACGTAATCGGATGATGTGAATTAAATTCACGGTTATAACACAAACTACTCACAGAGAGTCTTTTTATTTTAATTTAGTTCTGAGTGTTATTTTGATGTGTTCAATCTGCCCGTAATTATTAGGATTTAGTGATTAGTTGCGTGCCTAGTATGTATTGAGAAAGCAATGATGATGGCACTAACAAATGTGACTGTTAATTAAAACGCACAGATTCAAATACCTCGTTTTACAACATTATTTATATACTTTACTATATAAGCCGTGCACACATGAGTATTACTACACTACTGCAGCGAGACACGCCATCGGGGCTCCATGCCTTCATCCACTGCGCTACGGTATACATCATTGTTACCAGGCTACACCGGACCTTTAAGCCTGAGAGAGCAGTGAGTTGGGGAGACGATTACTAAACTTATCGTTACTACCGACAAACGACAAATAAAATGTTGTTGGCGCTATATTGATATTCTTAACTACCTTGATGACGTCATACTGTCTATAGTTGTTACAGTTTGGACCATAAATATGCCAGATAAGTCGATGCGTAGTCATTCAAGGAGAGAGGACTAGCTATCGTACAACAAGAACGCCTAGGTAAGTGACGCTTTTTTCCCGTGACCGGAATTTTCATTTCAAGTTTAAGTATGGTGTAATGATCACAATATTTAATTATTTTAACTGCTGCAATAAACTTTGTATTTTGAAGTACTTCGGTTACTTGTTCCAATGAACCCATCCGTTATAAAGTGCATGTTGTGGTATAGTCTGCATAGTCGAGGTTAGCACATATACAAAAATTCATCAGTTAATCCCATTGACGACATATTGCAGACACGTTTGGATTATTTGTTCTACCTTCTTTAATTCCTCTGTCTTGTCACTGGCAGTGGTGTGAGTAAAGTCGATTATAAATAGTCACCATTAAAAATGTTGTGGTTAATTTCGCTTGATCACGTGGTTAATAAATACTGTCATCATTGTCAAAAATATGAACTGAACTAAATGAGAAATAATTGTTCCCAGAACAGATCATTGCCATCTACATTTTAATTCAAATCAATTTAATTCAATTCAATAGAGACAGAGACAGACGACAAGGTAATTTGCCATATTTCGATAACAGAATCTACAAGTGAGTTTTAAATTTAAAAGGGGTCACAATTGAAACTTAAGCTAATGTCAAACTCATTAATACGAAATGCTGGCGCAATGTATTTCTGGAAAATGTATGTACCAGGTGACAAAATAACACATATTTATTTTGTCCTTTAAATAATATATGCAGTGTGTGTGTTTTTTTCGAAATAAGGTAACGCCTTTTTATTTTAAGTTGTTTCGTTTGATGTGTGTATATGCCACATAAATTCAGCGATCGCACTTGCGGACCGCAAATTTCTGTGCTATTGTGTTGATTGTATTGATCGGTGATTGTAGCACGGCGTTTTCAAGAATTTGGCTGTGTGTAGCAGTGTGCCTAGTACAGATAGCGTTTCCAACAATTAGGCTGCGTTGAAGC